AATATGGTGGAGGGGGGCACCGCACACGGCTAAGGAACGATCCGTAGATCAACTTGTCTTTGGGGTGCCCCCCTGCCCCCGTATATAAAGGAGCAAGGGGAGGAGGCGGCCGGCCAGGGAGAGGCGCGCCAAGGGGAGTCCTACTCCCACCGGGAGTAGGACTCCCTCCTTGTTGGAGTAGGAGAAGGGGGAAAGAGGGGGAGAGGAGGAAGGAAAGAGGGGCTACACCCCTTGTCCAATTCGGACCAGAGGGGGGTTGCGCGCCTCCTTCCTTTCGGCCTCTCTCCTCAATTCCCGTATGGCCCAATAAGGCCCATATACTCCCCGGCGAATTCCCGTAACTCTCCGGTACTCCGAAAAATACCCGAATCACTCGGAACCTTTCCGAACTCCGAATATAGTCGTCCAATATATCGATCTTTACGTCTCGACCATTTTGAGACTCCTCGTCAAGTCCCCAATCTCATCCGGGACTCCGAACTCCTTCGGTACATCAAAACTCATAAACTCATAATATAACTGTCATCGAAACCTTAAGCGCGCGGATCCTACGGGTTCGAGAACTATGTAGACATGACCTAGAATTATTCTTGGTCAATAACCAATAGCGGAACCTGGATGCCCATATTGGCTCCTACATATTCTACGAAGATCTTTATCGGTCAAACCGCATAACAACATACTTTGTTCCCTTTGTCATCGGTATGTTACTTGCCCGAGATTCGATCGTCGGTATCCAATACCTAGTTCAATCTCGTTACCGGCAAGTCTCTTTACTCGTTACGTAATGCATCATTTCGTAACTAACTCATTAGCTACATTGCTTGCAAGGCTTATAGTGATGTGCATTACCGAGAGGGCCTAGAGATACCTCTCCGACAATCGGAGTGACAAAACCTAATCTCGAAATACGCCAACCCAACATGTACCTTCGGAGACACCTGTAGTACTCCTTTATAATCACCCAGTTACGTTGTGACGTTTGGTAGCACCCAAAGTGTTCCTCCGGTAAACGGGAGTTGCATAATCTCATAGTTACAGGAACATGTATAAGTCATGAAGAAAGCAATAGCAACATACTAAACGATCAAGTGCTAGGCTAACGGAATGTGTCATGTCAATCACATCATTCTCTTAATGATGCGATCCCATTAATCAAATGACAACACATGTCTATGGTTAGGAAACATAACCATCTTTGATTAATGAGCTAGTCAAGTAGAGGCATACTAGTGATTATATGTTTGTCTATGTATTCACATATGTATTAATGTTTCCGGTTAATACAGTTCTAGCATGAATAATAAATATTTATCATGAAATAAGGAAATAAATAATAACTTTATTATTGCCTCTAGGGCATATTTCCTTCAAGCCGATGCCGCTTCATCTGCCGGGTCACCTCGCCTGCTTTTCGTCGGGTTGCACTGACCACTAGATGAGACTCACGAGAGGATCATCAACAAAGAAAAGAGATGAGAGCCGGGTTGTCGATGTGGGCTAGCTTACCCCTGACGTGAGGCCACCATTGCTGCCGTCGTCTCCAATAACGACCTCACCAAAGAACGGTCCCATCGGCTGCAGGGCCTCCACCGCCGGAGGGGGAGTGCACTAGGGAAACTCTTGACTCGTGTCACGCACCAGTTCGTTTTCTTCCCCTACCCGAGCCATTCCAAGAAGTTGAATCTTTTGCCACACTTCTCCATTTGGGGCTCATTCGGTTTGGAGGAAATTAAAACGTATGAATTAGGAATAGTATATGAATTTGATAAGATGACACTTGCCATTCTAAGGAATCAACTTGCCTCGTTCCTACGCGCAGAATGAGTTTTGAGTGGATGTGTATTTTTTTTAAAAACACGGGAAATGAGTAGTATTCCTACAAATTTTCTGTACGAATTTCCTACAAACCGAATGTGCATATAGGAAATTTTTCTTCGGAATTTTTGTTTCCATATTTTTTCCTACGAAAATCTTCCAAACCGAAAGAGGCGTTAATAATTTGCCCCCTGAGAGGCTGTCAGGTGGGGCCGAGGCCACTAATCATTGAAACAACCTTTGTGAATTGGGGCAAATCATCCCGGGCGACTCCTCGAACAGAGAAATAACAGAGGAAAAAACAGAGAAATCGAGCGACCTCTCCGTGACGGGTAGGGTTCCAGCCCGCGGCCCTCTTCCGGTCGGGCCGCCAGCGGCGCGCCGCCCCTCCGGCCTACCCTTCCTCTGGCGCCAACTCCCCTGTCCCTGCCCCCGAGCAGCCCGCCAGCGCCGCCGACCAGACCTCCGCCCTTCCTCCTCCGCCGCTCCTCCTCTGCAGGTCTCTCTCTCTCTCTCTTGTTTTGTACAGCATAGTTTTATGTGATGAATTGATACTTCCTGTATTGATTTTTGTTTCGAATTGTACATGCCATGATTGCTTGTTAGTTTTTCTTAAATTTGGCCAGAATTTGGCTGTTTTTGAACTACTTTTGTTTGTCTGCTTGCGCAATAATGGCAATATGCCATTTATCTTATTATTAGACTTGGGAACTATTTCCTTCATATTCTGGCAAAATTCTGGCCACATGATCTCTATTAGGTTATGACTATTTGAACTGAACTGCATTTTAGTTGTTATTTTGCTTGTGTGAACCTGATGTGTATTTGCTATGGTGTGAACTGTATTTTAGATGCTATGTCAATTACCCATGTGCCATGTTTCCTATTTTCCTGTGTATATAGCCAATTTTTTTAAAAAAAGGTTAAGCACCCATTGCTCTAAGCTGTGGCCTTCTGCTTCGCTTACGCTTTCCGCTTTTTGAACATTGAGTGCCTATCTGGGCACTATATATTTGTTGTGATTTTGAGCTGATCGTCCTCTTCAATAACTTCTCTTATAGGTGTAGCCTGCCGAGGTGAAGACTTGGGACGAGATAATGGTGAGTTCATTTCACCTCCTGTTAAGCAGCTAAACAATCTTAAATTTGCAATTTATTTTTGGCAAGTGATCTCATGGTGTGTCTAAATGGTGCCATTTCACAGGCAAGCTTCGCTGATTCCTTCTTGGCCGATCTTGACGAACTTTCAGACAATGAAGTCTATCCCATGAGTTGATTTCTGTGTCTACTGCGTAACCATGTTTTAAAAGGATACATTTGTTGGCAATTCCTTAATCTGTTGTCAAATTTCAGGAAGAAGACAACGCTGAGGCAGTGGGTGTGGACGAAGATGGTAACGATGATATGCCTGACCTCGAGTCTCTTAATTATGATGATCTTGACAGTGTCTCAAAACTACAGAAGACACAATGTTATATTGACATAATGCAAGTATGTGATCAAACTCGTAAATCTTGTAACCTTATACCTTTCTCTCTTGCATAGATCTATGTTTATATCTGGTAAAAAGTAAAACCTTATTTGTGCGGTTAGGGTAATCAGTCAGTTATAAGATGCTGCACAATGTTTTCCACCAAAACAGGGTTTGCTAGTTTGAAAGAAATCTTAAATGGCACATATTGTATGGATTTTGGAGAAACACTCAGTTGATTGTTCTTTTCATGTCTGATTCCCATATAGAACTTTAAATTTTTCGTAGGGTGCAAATGGAGATATTTTAGTATGTTTAGTGTGCAAAAAGAAAGAAATAGACCAACCAGGGATTAGTCCCTGGAGAGCTTTTTAATATTATAAGACAACCTGAGTCACCTGCATATTATAAGACAACCTGAGTCACCTGCAGAGGCTAGGCCTTAAATGCAGGTTCTGCAGTGACACAGCATGCACACTCGTGCTGTATCGCTCAGTTCTCGCTCAATGTTACAAATGGTTTGTGTGGAAAATATGCTTCCATTCAATTTGAGTTCATAGGTCTGCGATTTGAGTCCATAGGGCATGCGGCGTTGTTCATCTTTAGTCTAGCCTTAGTCTAAAAAAAAATCTTTGACTCACCGCTGCATGACAATACATTAATTTACAGGTCCATTTGCTGCATGCAGAAAGTCGAAGGAGCGCTTGAGAAAGGCACAGATTTGTCTAATCAAGGGTTCATCCTGGAGGAGGATCCAGAGTACCAGCTCATTGTAGCTTGCAATGCTTTATCAGTAGATATTGAGAATGAACTCATTATAATCCATAATTTCATACGTGATAAGTATCGGCTGAAGTTTCCTGAACTGGAATCCCTTGTTCATCATCCGATTGATTATGCCCGTCTTGTTAAGAAGATCGCCAATGAGATGGATTCAACACTAGTAGATCTGGAAGGGCTTTTACCTTCTGCAGTTATAATGGTTGTCTCTGTGACAGCGTCGACAACTAGTGGGAAGCCTCTTTCTGAGGAGAATTTGGTAAAAACCATTGAAGCATGTGACAGAGCCCTTAATCTTGATGCTGCAAAGAAGAAGGTGCTTGATTTTGTTGAGGGTAGAATGGTTTACATCGCACCAAACCTTTCTGGCATTGTTGGCAGTGCTGTTGCTGCTAAACTGATGGGGATTGCTGGTGGTTTGGGAGCACTTGCAAAAATGCCTGAGCAATGTTCAGTTACTTGGAGGAAAGAAGAAAAACCTCGCTGGATTTTCTACTGCCACATCTCAGTTTCGTGTTGGCTATCTTGAACAAACCGAAGTATTTCAGAGCACCCCTCCAGCCCTGAGGACCCGTGCTTGCAGGCTTATAGCTGCAAAGTCGACTCTAGCAGCAAGAATCGATTTGATTAGAGGTGATCCAACTGGAAAAGCTGGTCGCAACTTGTTAGAAGAAATCCGTAAGAAGATCGAGAAGTGGCAGGAACCACCTCCTGCAAAGCTTCCAAAACCACTTCCTGTACCAGACTCCGAGCCTAAAAAGAAGAAAGGGGGTCGCCGCCTTTGAAAAATGAAAGAAAGGTAAGCTTTTCTCAACTATTTTTGGAAAAATAAATAAATATTGAACAGCTTCATGCTTATTTGTTTCTTGAACTACTTATTTGCCTTCTGTGCTGAAACTTGATTCATCACATATACAGCATGGTATCTTGTCATGACTTCGGGAACTTGGTTCTGCAGATATGCGGTAACTGATATGATGAAGCTTGCAAACCGAATGCAGTTTGGAATACCAGAGGAGAGCTCATTAGGTCAGTTGGTTTTGACAGTATGGTTGGAATAACATTTTGTTACTCCCTCCGATCCATATTACTTGTCACTCAAATGGATGTATCTAGATGTATTTCAGTGCTAGATAGATACATCTGTTTGAGCGACAAGTAATTTGGATCGGAGGGAGTAGTTAGTTTAGCTACACTATACTTTAATATTGACATGATCACATCTTGTTATCACCAGGTGATGGTTTGGGGGAAGGTTATGGCATGCTCGGGCAGGCCGGAAGTGGGAAGCTACGTGTCTCAGCTGCACAGAACAAACTTGCTGCTAAAGTGGCAAAAAAATATGCCTTCTTTATTCTTCCCACAGTATCTTATTTTGTTCCGTTCTGTTCCTTGCCATTTGGTGTTAAAGCATAAAGCACATCACTACTAATTAGTTCGGCAATAGAGGTCTTCTGCACTTCTACTCAAAAAAACACGGTATAACTTGCAGTGTAATGTTTTCTGTTTGACTGTTTCTAAATTCAACACAAGTTTAATGTTTCCCTGCACAAACCTTAGATCATTTAGGTGTTTGCACACATTTTTTATGTTACAGATTATTTGCACCCTGTACCAGTTCTAGTAGCCTTGCAGGCAATCGTTATGCTACTGTAACTCTCGTAATTATCTTGAAATTGCTGTTTCTATTTCAATTCATGACCACCTTCTTGATATCACGCACTGCAATCTCTCTTTGATTCCATATTACTTTCTAATATTAGATTCAAGGAGAAGAGTTGTGGTAGCAGTGGTGCAACATCTGGACTGACATCTAGTTTGGCCTTTACACCAGTTCAGGTGAGTTTATTTTTCCCTGGTTCACTTTAATAAGATAGGTAATTGATGTTATGCATGATCTTTAGTCAATCCAGTTGTTTAACATGGGATCATGACTGATACTCTAGATTGCTATGTAATTTTTTATCTTGTATTTGCTTAGTTATTGCTTGACTTGCTCATGTTGAGGAGTCGGAAAAGGCATTGCACCCATTGTTTTTGTCTTTTTGCTGCACCAGAAAGTCCTTTTTTGCTTACGTGAGTGAAGTCATCATGAACAATATATTTTGCTATACTGTACATAAATATGCCAGCATTACATATTCTTTTTTCTTGTAAACCAGGTGCTGTATGACTGCTGTTAGTTTGGACCATGCTTTTATACATTTAGCACCTTCTGTATAGATGGTAATCAGTAGGCTGTATGCATCTTTGGCGCCATTATACGGTTTCAGTTAGTTGGATTGTCCTATTTTGTTATTTTTGAAGAGGTTAACCACATGAAATCTCTGGCATCACTCCATCTTTCTCATATACCTTACTTTCCACTTGCAGGGAATAGAACTGTCAAACCCACAGGCACACGGGAACCTTCTCGGAAGTGGAATCCAGAGCACCTACTTCTCGGAGACCGGCACATTTTCTCGGATCGGTAGGCCTGGAGGTTAGAATCTGAAAAAGTAAGAACCTGATTTTGAGATCAGAAACGATGATTGTTTCTTGGTCCGAGCAATTTCATCCCATTCTGCACACAATTCCCAAGAACCAACTGTTGGGATGCACTTGCGCACAACCAGCTTGTAATATTCTCAGATGTATCGCATGGTCTGTAATGTAAGTACAGTTTCCCTGCAAAAAAGAAAAATGTAAGTACAGTTCGCGCACTACAACATCACAATGTATGAAGTCAGGCAGTACACAACATTCATTACCTATGCTTCGAGCGTGGATAATTTTTCTAGAAAACCTGTTGGAATTACCTTGTCTGAAACTGTTGAATTCCAAATGTTGGATTGTTCCATACCATTCAACCGAGTTGAGCTCCAGGCAAGATGATAATTGTGATTGACCTTTTTGAGGAAATAATTTTTCTCCGAAGTGGAAAACCATCATGTTGTGATCTAGATAAAACAATGTAGACTGCATGGTGCTACCACATGACATATGTGGTAAGCAATCCAAACAATTTTAAAAAAAGTAGACTGCAAGGTGCTGATATTACATGCTGCGGTGTTTGGTAATGGCACGACCATGAACCAGTAAATATCGGTATCGGTAACGGCACGACCATGAACCAGTAAATATCTTTCAAGTTTTCTTACTTTTGTACTAGATCAGCGTCAGGCAGGACCATGAACCAGTAAATATCTTTCAAGTTTTCTTACTTTTGTACTAGATCAGCGTCAATTAACATGGATCGGTGGGAGTGGGAGTAGTTCTTTTTCTGAGAGAACTCTGAGTACAAGACATAGTTTTTCCCTCAAAAAGTTAGCATAGTTAAGTTATCTTTGTTTTTCTTAGGAAAATTTCGAGGCTATTTTTAGGGGAAGAAATCTCCAGGCCACTACAGTAGTACTGATGAAGACAAACCCAATCGTTGGTTCACACTTATTTTCCAGGGTGTGAGGATGGCACATGGTCCGCAGCCCAATTACGACAAGCCCACTGCTCCACCTATCCCTTTCACTCAACAAACTAGTTGCTCTTAAGAATTCCTCTTGTCCTCCTGACATTTCCCAACTTTCCCCTCTTGTCTGATTGGTACCTCTCCAACGCCTGCTTCTTGGGATCAGTTGGCCGGAAGATCGGCAGCTTTAGTTGCCTACTGATTCCTCTTTTGCTTGGTAAATTCATCTCTCGCAGCTTGTGCTATTTTCCCCTTCTTCTTTTTATGTTTGTGGGATCATGCAGCACCTCGCCTTGCCCTTTCCGTGCTTAAAAAACTGGATTTGTTGTCTAGTACAGTAGTTATTTTAGACAAAAAGGAGCCTTTAACTCCTTAAATATTTCAGATGATTGGAGACTCAGAAGGCATGCCTTAGTTTGATCAGTCCAATCATCTTGCAATCCTTTTTTAGTAGTGATCTAAATGCTCTTATAAAAGTTTACAGAGGGAGTAGTTTATAAACAAATTATACTTGAAGGTTCTTCACCAAGATTATTTACTAGCAAATTCTTGATCTACTTGAATGATCTGATTCACTCACAGCAGTTCTGAGAAGGGCACCAAAGAGACATCCTAGTATATTCATGTTAAAATAAATATGAAGCTTGAGTTGCTCGCGTTTTATGCTAACCAACAATTGTATTTTCCAGGGTGTGGAAGGATGGCACAGCACTCTGAGAATGCGGCAGAGAACATGATGAGCGGCATCATGGACGCCATCGCCGACAAGCTCCCCAAGCAAAAGTCGGTCAGGTTCGATGATGAGGGCTCCATCTCCGGCCAAGCCAAGAAGCTCTTCGGCGGCCACAAGTCTGTGCACCACGTCCTCGGCGGTGGAAAATGTCTGGACCTCTTATACTTTTATCTCCCTCTTATTAATTTGATTCAATCCACACGGAGTTGCTGATGATATGTCGCTTCCTTCCTCGCGACGACGATGACCGCAGCCGCCGACGTGCTACTGTGGAGGAACAAGAAGATCTCATCCAGCGTTCTTGCTGTTGCAACAGCTGCCTGGGTCTTCTTCGAGTGGCTCGACTACCATTTCTTGACCATCGTATCATTTGTGCTTGTTCTTGGCATGGTTGTCCAGTTCGGATGGTCCAGCTTCGCAGGCATGCTCAATGGGTATATACTATGCAACAATGCAAAAACTCCAACCAATTATGCAGTTTTTTTTCTATGTTTGCTGTCGACACCTGAACTTTGGTAGGCAGCATAATCAAAAGCAAGCATTTATGTTTTCAGGTCTCCTTCTAACGTGCCCCGTGTGGAGTTACCCGAAGAGCTGTTTGCAAATATGGGCGCCGCTGTCGGCGCCCAGGTGAACAAATTCTTGGGAAGCCTTCAGGATGTGTCCTGTGGAAGAGACCTGAAGCAGTTCCTCATGGTATGTTACGCCTTAAGCTAACGTCCATGAGATAAATTTGTCCTCTCCCTTGAGCACTTGCAGGCATACATCAGAGTCAGACCAGGCTTGATTTCTTTCTTTCAGGTGATCTCCGGATTCATTGTCGCCGCTTTCATTGGGAGCTGGTTCAGTCTCATCACCGTCATCTACATCGGTACAACCATGATTTCACTTGATAATATGTTGGGGAGGGATTAACACCTGGAAATTTTCTTGGTTTCTGACTACCATTTACACTGGTGCTCTGTTGCAGGGTTTGTGTGTGCACACACCTTACCAGTGTTCTATGAGAGGTATCATGATCAAGTCGATGAGGTTCTGTACAACATGCTTGGGTTGATTGGGAGTCAGTACCAGAAGCTTGACAAGGGCGTCTTGAGCAAGATGCCTAAAGGGAACCTCAAGTTCAGGAAGAGCCAGTAGTTGGATTCACCGACAGAGCATCTATGCCGTGTAATCCGGATGAACGTGTTAGAATTAAGGGGCTTGGCCCATGTGTGGAAATTGTGGAAGCATCTCAACTCACCCGGTGGAGAGCCCGCATGTTATATATTCATAGGATGGGGCTTATCTCATAAATGCATATATTTGATTGTTACAATTGTCAATAGCATGTTCAGAGAAGAGAGATACACAGAGGTTTAAGGAGAGATTAAAGATTTACAGGAGAGATTAAAGGAGAGTTAAAGAAGAGAGTTACAGTAATCAAAACAAGCATCAACTCCTAATAACATAACTGTGTACGTTTAGTCTTGGTGTTTAGCACCCTCCCTTAATCAGAACTTAGCTAAGTTCAGATTACGCTTGAATTCCTCAAATGACCTTGAAGGTAATGCTTTTATAAAGCCATATGCAACTTGATCTTTAGAAAGTACAAACCGAATCTCTAGTTCCTTATTAGCAATTCTTTCCCTCACAAAGTAATAGTCCATTTCAATGTGCTTGGTTCTTGCATGAAAGACAAGATTAGCTAACAAATATGTGGCACCAAGATTGTCACACCAAAACAGGGCCAGGCCAATAAAACCAAGAGCCCTGTGCGAAAATAAAAAGGTGGCCCTGATATCATCATAATTTTCTTCAACATCAATATTATCTTATGTTTTGGGAAACCAAAAGCCCACTCCCCTAGGCTAGTCTTCCTTTCTGAAACAAGGCAATCATGTGCAAAAATTGAGCGGCTAAAGTGGAAGATTGGTCTGAAAGGATTTTGTGGTGTAGACGCTGAAGGTCTTGGAGGTGGTTTAGCTCTGTTTTGGGATGAATCCCTCCGAGTGTCGGTTCTGGACGCATGTAAAAGGTATATTGACGTGAGTATTGTGGACGAAGGGTCTGGCAAATCCTGGCGGTCCACCTTTGTCTATGGTGAGCCACGTGTGGAGCACAGATATAGAATGTGGGAACACATTGTCAGGCTTAATTCGGTCTCGGAATTGCCTTGGTTGGTTTGTGGTGACTTTAATGAGGCGATGTGGCAGCATGAACATTTCTCAAGTACTAGTAGAAGTGAGAGCCAAATGGAGGCGTTCCGGGAAACGCTCATGGTGTGTGAATTGGTGGATGTGGGTTTCTCGGGGGCGCCGTTTACTTATGATAATGGCCACCGGGGGAACGGCAACGTCCGGGTTCGGCTGGATCGAGCATGTGCGAGCAACGAATGGCGGGAGGTGTTCCCGTACGCTTGGGTACAACATCTGGTATCACCTCGTTCAGGCCACTGCCCCCTACTGTTACATCTTGAGGCTGTACAGGACCAAAGGAGGCGAGGCCAACAGAGATATGAAATAATGTGGGAACGAGACCAGAGGCTACCAGAGGTGATAGCAAAAGCCTGGGCCAAAGTGCAGCCCAGGGGTGACTTGGGGGATGTTGCGATATCCCTTAAATCTGTTCTAAAAGATCTGCATAGATGGAGCAAGGAAAATTTTGGTCATGTGGAGAGACAGATTGCTGCATTGAGGCAAGAACTTGATTCTCTACAAGCATCTTCTACTGACCGTGTGTTGATTCGACAGAAAATGGCAGAGTTGGATGAACTACTATACAGAGAAGAGATGATGTGGCTCCAGCGCAGTCGTATTGTCTGGTTGAAGGAGGGAGACCGGAACACGCAATACTTCCATCGTCAGGCAGTGTGGAGGGCTAGAAGGAATAATATCCGTCGGTTGCAAAAAGATGATGGGTCCTGGTGTAGTGTGCCTTCGGAGATGGAACGGATGGCGGCCTCTTATTTCCAGGAGTTGTATACGAAGGATCCCACTTTGTCGCCTGAATTAGTATTGGATCAGATCACGCCAAAGGTTACAGATGCTATGAATGAGAGCCTTTTGGCGCCATTTTCTGAGAAGGAGATTTCAGACGCTCTATTTCAGATCGGTCCTTTAAAGGCACCCGGTCCAGATGGTCTTCCTTCTCGGTTCTTTCAAAGAAACTGGAGTTGTGTCAAGGAGGAAATTGTTGCAGGGGTTCGAAAATTCTTTGACACGGGTCAGATGCCCCTTGGTGTGAATGAAACAGCTATTGTGCTTATCCCAAAGATTCAACACCCCGTGTCTCTCAAGGATTTCCGTCCTATATCTCTATGCAATGTGGTCTACAAGATTGTTTCAAAGTGTTTGGTAAATCGACTCCGTCCGCTTCTTACGGATCTTATTTCTGAAACCAAAGTGCTTTTATCCCGGGCCGGTTAATTTCAGATAATTCTATTATTGCTTTTGAATGTATTCATCACATCCAATCGTCATCGAGGCAGGATTTTTGTGCTTATAAGCTGGACTTGTCGAAGGCATATGACCGTGTTAATTGGGATTTTTTGGAACAAGCGTTACTGAAATGGGGTTTTTTATCCCAATGGGTATCTCTGGTTATGCAATGTGTACGCTCGGTCAGATTTTCAGTGAAATTCAATGGGCGTCTCTTGGAGCAATTCTCACCTTCCCGAGGTTTGCGACAAGGTGACCCCCTCTCCCCCTTTTTATTCCTCTTTGTCGCTGATGCGCTATCTTCTCTGTTACATAATGCGGTCCAAACAAGAGGGTTGGAGGCCATCAAGATATGTAGAAGGGCGCCCACTATCTCACACCTTTTATTCGCGGATAATTCCCTATTATTCTTCCGAGCAACCACGGATCAGGCGCAACTTGTTAAGGATGTCTTGAATACTTATGCTTCATCTACGGGTCAACTTATAAACCCTTCAAAGTGTTCCATCCTGTTTTCTGACAGTTGTCTGGATATGGTTGCTGATGATGTTAAGCAAATATTGGGGGTAGTTCAGCAAGAGTTTGAACCAAAATACTTAGGCCTTCCAGTCCCGGAAGGTAGAATGCACAAGGGAAGGTTCGAATCACTGCAGTCCAGGTTGTGCAAGGTGATCACTGAATGGAGTGAGAGGTACTCATCGTATGCAAGCAAGGAGGTGTTAATAAAAGCAGTTGCCCAAGCTCTTCCCGTATATGTTATGAGTATTTTCAAGCTTCCCTTCTCGGTTTGTGATGACCTCACGAAGATGATGAGACAATACTGGTGGGGGGTGGAAAATGGAAAGAGGAAGATGGCATGTTAGCCTGGGATAAGTTGATGTTACCAAAAGCAAAAGGGGGCTTGGGTTTTCGAGATATGAGGGCTTATAACCAGGCCTTGCTAGCTAAGCAAGCTTGGAGGCTCGTAACAGCCCCTGATTCTCTTTGTGCTCCGCTCCTTCGGGCGAGATACTACCCAAATGGAAGCCTGGTGGATACTGTCTTCCTAAGCAATAGCTCGGCCGTTTGGAAAGGAATTGAACATGGTTTGGAGTTAGTGAAAAATGGCATGATTTGGCGAGTAGGAAATGGTGAACAGGTCAGAGCTTGGAGAGACCCTTGGATCCCTCGAGGGCCACCTTTCACGCCTATTCTGCCAAGAAGAAATTGTCGTCTAAATAGAGTTTCAGAGTTCCTTGATGTGAGTGGTTACTGGAGAGTGGACTTATTGCAACGGCACTTCTGTCAGCCGGATGTGGAGGCGATTCTAAGGATTAAGACTTCGCCAAGGCAACAGGAGGATTTCATCTCTTGGCCATGGGAAAATTCTGGCCAGCTTACTGTCAAGAGTGCGTACATGTTCGCTATGTCTGACCATTATGAGCAGTTCTGCCCAGGGGCCTCTAGTACGTCTTCATCTGGGATGCGACCATCATGGAAACTGGTTTGGGGTGCTGCTGTCCCACCAAAGATGAAACACTTTGCTTGGCAGCTTGCTTCGGGCTCGCTACCAACAAATGAAGAGAAAAGCAGGAGGCATATGGAGACTTCTGGGTACTGTCGACTATGCGATTGGGAAATGGAATCATCATTTCATGCTCTGCTGGTGTGTGCCAATTCGGCATTGCTGTGGGACGCCATGTGCACTCACTGGCCGTTACCATATAGGAGAGATATCTTATGTACAGGAAGGGAATGGATCTTTGACCTCCTAGCAAATGTACAGGAGCAACTTAGAAGCAGAATCATCATGGTATTGTGGCGCAGCTGGCACCTCCGCGATGAATTAGAGCACGGCAAATCTATTCCTCCCCTGGAGGTTTCGTGCTCCTTCTTGGTCAGCTACTACAATTCCTACAGCCAGATTTCCCTGTCAGTGGAAGAAATCATCAAGGGTAAAGCCCCGTTAATGTTGAACCCACCGGGGACTCAAGAGCAACCGCAGCCTAATACAATACCAAAGCGGTGGCCAAGACCTCCTGCGGGCGTATTAGCATTATCAGTGGATGGGTCTTATAATGGCTCAGATGGTTCGGCGGGTTCCGGCATGATATTGAGAGATGATAAAGGTGGGGTGATCTTCGCTGCGTATCGTAAAATTTTCAATTGTAACGAAGCCCTTGAGGCCGAACTACAAGCTATGGCAGAGGGACTCAAGTTGGCGGCGAATATTCTTTTGCAGTCGGATTGCTCCTTAGCACTCAAGGCGCTGTCGGATGACTCGTTGGATAGGTCCATGCATGGTCATCTGGTCAGAACTGTTAAGGGGTACTTGAAGGATAGGGTTGTTATTCCAGTTAAAATTCATAGAGAGCAAAACAGGGTTGCAGATTCGTTAGCGAATTATGGTAGATGTGGGGATAGCACAACATGTTGGCTGAGATGCTCTCCATCGCGTGTCAGTGTGCTTATCGCTGAGGATTGTAAACCTGTAACTTTGGAGTAATAAACCCTATGTTTCTGCGCAAAAATATATATTATCTTATGTTTCTATCCGGCCATCTCTGGAACTAGGACTGCCAACATTGTAATCAAGTGCATGGCCTTGATCCAATCACTGGTTAAGGGCATTTGCGATTCTTTTATAAATGACTTATACAATATCTCACCCGCAAAAAAAAACTTATACGTACATAGCTCCTTTCTAATATTGAGTTAAACCCACATTTTTTTTGTTTTTCT